TAAAAATTCAATTCGAATGGCCGTCAAATAATTTTTGGAAGTTAATTGTATTTTATAAGGAGTATGTATATTTTGGGCACAGTTATGTTCCAAAAATCATTTGACGGTCTTCCCGATTGAATTTTAGCTGATCCTTTTTTATGGATAAACTAGGCTTGAATGCTTGATGAAGAACATGCCATAAAAATGTCATCAAAAAATTCTGCGGGGAAGGGCTCCAAATGCCGCCGCCCGGACAACAGTTCCGGTTAGGAAGGCCTGACTGGAAGATTACTCTTACTCTCTCTCTCTCTCTCTCTCTCTCTCTCTATATATATATATATATATATATATATATATATATATATATATATATATATATATGGAGGACAGGGGCGGATGGTAGCCTGGCCAGGGGTGGGCTTCAACCCAGCCCAATTTTTTTTTTAATAGTATTGGTTTATTTTCGATTCTTAGCCCACCCTAAATTTAAATGTCAGCCCACCCCACAAATAATTCCCAGCCCAGCCCAGAAAAAGCAGCCCACATCTTTCCCCTGAGTCCCTTACGGCTTACCGCTCCCAGCCTGTGGACTTACGGTCGAAGTGTCGAACGAAGGCTTCAAGGGACGAGTGGACGACCGACGAACTCCGGACGAAGTGACGAACCGACTGAAGCAGCGAACCTGCCGCGTGCCGCCGGTGCCCGGTGCTGAGTTGCCGCCGTGCCGGAGACATGAACAGCAGCGACGCGCCGAGCCGGAGCCGCCTCTTCCTCTGCCCGACCGCCTCTTCCTCTGCCCGACCAGGTAAATCCTCTTGGACTCTTGGTGACTTGATGTAAATGGTGACTGGTGTTGAATTTTGATTTGTGAATCAGTGAAGTTATGAACTTCTGATGTGAATCTGTGAACTTTGAATGAGTGAATCTGTGAATTGTGCATTTTAGGTTGAACAATACCAGTAATTTTAGAGTGAATATGTGAATTGTGCATTTTAGAGTGAATGAGTAAATCTGTTATATATTTTTTATATATGTTTTTTAATTTATATCAATATTGAAAATGTTTTTTTAGAATGGATAATGAACATGTTGCCAAGAAGGGAAAGAAGTTGATTTCATCATTCTTTTCAAAAGTGAATCGTCAAACCGGTGAAGGAAGTTCTGAACCTATACCTACGAGTTGCCTTCATCTTTTTCCATTGAGAGGGATCCGGGAAAAAGAAAACAAATTCATGAATACCATGTTAATGTGCGAGATGAAGTTAGACGTGCATATCTAAATGTTGGGCCTTATCAACCGAGAATGGAAGCTTATCCAGTGAAAAAGTTTGGAGCTCAAAACCGAAGTTTTCAGAAACACTGGTTTGACAAGTTTAATTGGTTAGAGTATTCACCTGTGACTGATAAAGCTTACTGTTTTTTCTGCTTCCTTTTCTTGAGTGACATTCATATGCATACTAGTTCTGCATTAGTTAACGAAGGATTTCAAAGTTGGAAGAGGGTAAATCAAGGAAGTCAATGTGCATTTCTTCAACACATTGGTATTTCAGAAAAATCACCTCATATGATGTGTGTTCAAAGAGCTGAAAATTTGAGCCAACCATCTGGCCATATTAAGAATGTTTTTCATGCCCAATCGCAACAAGAAAAGGAGATATTCTTTCAACATCTGAAGCGTCCACACTTGTTGAGTTATGTCAACATTTGACGGAGAGTGGGAAATCAGAAATCTATGTTATGTTGACGAGACTAATTCGTCTAGTTTTGACCCTACCTATTTCTACTGCTACTACGGAAAGAGCATTTTCAGCAATGAAGCATGTGAAGACGGCACTTCGTAACAAAATGGGAGACGATTTTCTTGAAGATTCATTGATAATCTACATTGAACGAGACTTTGTCAATAATATAGATATAGATTCTATTATTGATGAATTTTATACTTTGAAGTCGCGTAGGGCACAACTTAAATGATGTTTTAATGAATTTGTAAGTGTTGACGACTTGACTTATTATTATATATGTGTATTTCAATTTTTTTCCCCAGCCCACCCCATTGTGACTTTCTGGATCCACCCCTGATGGAGGAGTTCAAATTAAAAGAGGTGCTCCCTGATCGGAACCGAGTCCGAACGGCGTCATTTGAGGCTCTTCCCGGTGGAATTTTTTTATGAAACTTTTATGGCATGTTTTTCATCAAGTCTAGTTTGTCCATAAATAAATCAGCTAAAATTCAATAGGGAAGGCCATCAAATGATTTTTGGAAGATAAATGCGCTTAAAATATACATATAAAATGGAGTTAACTTCCAAAAATTATTTGAGAGCCTTTCCAATTAAATTTTTAGCTGAATGTTTTTGTGGATAAACTAGAATTGATGAACAATAAGGCATAAAAATTTCATCAAAAAAGTCGACCGGGAAGAGATCAAAACGCAGCCGTCCGGACTGTGGTTCCTGTCCGGAACCCCCATGCGGACAACACCATCAGAGGATCTTCCCGTTGGAAATTTTTGATGAAATGTTTTGAGCATAATCCTCATAAAATCTAGTTTATTCATACAAAATTTCAGCTCAAATGTCAATCGGGAAGACAGTTAAACAAATTTTTGAAACATACTGCGTTTTATATATGTACAAAATGTGTGGCTTTTGTACTGTAACAGAAAAGCTGCCACTTCAAGTGACGGCTTTTCTTAACCGGAGTTAACCCAGCAATATTTTGAGAATTATTTTTAAATCAACAGTATTTTGAGAATTATTTATTTAATTAGCATTATTCCGAGGAAAACTCAATTAATACCATCATACTAAAAATCTGATAATCTTATAGATAGTATTTTGGAAGTTCAAACATTTTTACTCTTATTTCAATAATTTTACCCTTACAAATCACATAGTTACCATAATTTTTACCCTTGCAAATCACATATTCAAGTACTAAAGAAGAAGAATAACCTTCAGCTTACCAAGTACGTCATCATCATCACCATTACGCTAGTGACCCAAAAGCTCCCAACTATCACTTCGTATACCGTGGGATCATCCCACGGTGAGCACCATGCTCCCACTCCCAAAACAATATAATTTTGCACAATCTTTTAAAAAAAAAAAATCGCGTGAACAGTACACCCGTGAACAGTACACGCATGTACATTAACTGTTTTTCCTTCTTTTTGTCCGAGTAGCATGAATGATGTAACTCACATTTAATATATGTAACTCACATTATTGATCAATGTAACTCAAGTCCAGTCGAAATGTAACTTTGTCAAATACATAGTATAAGAAGTAAACTTTGATTTAAATGTCAATAATGATAAAAAAGAAGTCAAATTATTTTACATAAATAGTGTTATTGTTTTGCTTTTAATAGCAGGGCTACAAAAATGATATTTTTATGTAAAAATTTTCTTTGAATATCAAAGGTTGATTGTATTGTGTAACTCGCATTATAATGCGGTGTAACTCATATTATATAAAATGTAAATCACGTGCAAGTATGATGTAACTAGTTGATGAAAGTTGACATTTAACTCACGCTAATAGACATGTAACTTTAGACAAATCCTAATGTAATTTGAGCCAAATCAAAATGTAAATTGTCTAAACTGAAATGTGTGTGTATATATATGAAGATTCCTAATCAACCCTAATGTTCTCATGCTTGGCCAGCAAAAACATCCATGACTCATCATTGATGTGCAATCTGAAGGAACGGAAGTGGGATTGTGATCGATTGTGTTTGCAAACTCAGATAGGTCGTACAATCCAAAGCAGAATAGGTAGGGTTGGATTCGGTTCGGGCCACCTGGCCCGTGACCCGGCCCGGCCCGGTACTGTGCGGGCTCGGGACCGGCCCGGCCCGGTACTGTGCGGGCTCGGGACCGGCCCGGTCGGGCGGTCCGGGACCGGGTATGGACCCGAACCGGTGGGAATGGGCGGGGCGGGCTCGGTGCTGGATTAATGTGACCCGGCCCGGTCGGGTCAGGCTCGGGCCCGGATCCGGTCTTAATTTAAAAAAAAATTGGGTCTTGGGCTCTTGGCTAGTGGGCTACTAGCCGTTGGGGGTGGGGCTGGGGACAACCCAAACGGCTATATAGCCGTTGGGTGGGGTAAAGGGGGGGTCCGGGGGGGTTGGGTGGTGGGGGGTGGTGGTGGGGGTGGGGGATAAAAAAACCTATAAATACTCTTAATCTTAAACATTTTTTCATATCTCTTCTCCAATTCTTCCTAAATCCTATTCTTAACTCTCTACTCTCTAATTCTCTTATTCTCCAATATATTATATTTATTATTTATATATCTACTTTATAGTTTATACTTAAGAAGTTAAGATGGAAAATCAAGATGCCATTATACGGTATAATTTTGATAAGCCGAAGGACCCGAAGACCGGGATGTGGTACGCAATTTGCAAATGGTGCGAGAAAAAATGTAGCATGAGGGTTTCAAGCGGATACGGGATGGCAATCAAGCATATGAAGTCATGTGACAAAGCTAAAGGATCAGGAGGTGCGGGAAGTTCCGATTGATTACAATTTTCAAAATGTTTGTCTCTTAAAGTTTGTTTTAATTTTCAAATGTAGTTCCTATTTCATTTCAAATAAATGCACTTGAAGTTTGTTTTTAATACTCATACAAAACTATAAACTATAAAATATAAATTATAAAAAAAGAAATTTAACCGGCCCAGCCCGAACCGGACCCGACCCGTGACCCGGGCGGGTGGCCCGGCCCGAACCGGACCCGTCCAACCCTCGGGCCGGTCCCGGGCCCGTCATACAAACCGGCGGCCCGACCGGGCCTAGGCCCGGCCCGAGTCCATCAATAAGAATAGGATAGCGGCAATCAGAGAAAGCCAAAGTTGAATAGGATTTAACTTGTTTGGCCGGATTTTATTTCGTGCTCGCCGGCTACGTGCAGAGCTCTATCTCTGTAGGTATCTCTGTAGGGAAAGGCAGACCTGTTCCTCTTTTTTTTTAACTAAACGCCACCGTTTTTGGACTTGGAGCACGATGCTCACTGTGGGATGATCCCACGGTATAATTTGCGTCTAACTACCATAGGTAAGGGAGTTACCCTAGTGACACAAAGGCTTCCAACTAGTAAGGGAACTTACCGAGAAAGGTAAGTGTATTAAAAACCTAATGCAGATAAGCCAAACACGAAATCAATATACTCATGGTACCAATAATTACAGAGCAGTCTTGTTTTCACACAATGCGCATCTTCGTTAAAAATTCTTGAATCAACTAATTAATTAATTAACAATATCCGCACACAAGGCTAATTTCAACAGCACAGAAATTAATTGAAGGCCACCATAAGGGAAGAAGAGTCTTTAGCTTCCACTCTTGAATGGGATGGCTCTGATCACAACTTGGTGGTACAGTGCCGCAAGAGCAGCTCCGATGAAAGGTCCGACCCAGAATATCCACTGCAAACAACACACAAAACGTACATTCATAAGCTTTGAAGCCATATGAGCAATAACTGTGATTCCCAGACATGGAAATCTTGATAATCATTTACAAAAACAAAATATATAACTCACATGGTCATCCCAAGCATGATCCTTGTTGTAGATAATGGCAGCACCAAGACTGCGGGCAGGATTGATGCCAGTTCCAGTGATGGGGATGGTGGCCAAGTGAACCAAGAAAACTGCAAATCCAATTGGGAGAGGAGCCAATATCTGCAATGGTTGTTCCACATTTGATTATGGTGTCTAGCTCAATACTCAGCAAGGGATTTGTTTATTTCCATCTAATACTAAACACATATCACGATTCACGAACATGACTTCTTATTTACTCCTCTATCCCGCTAAAATTGTCCCATTTTTCTTTTTTCGTCCCATTTTTCTTTTTTCGGGAAATCCCACTAAAATTGTCTCATACTAAATTTTGTAAAGTTTATGTGACTCTAAATGATTTTTACTTTGTTCTTACTTTATCAATTCTATATCAACCACATAAATTTACTTTTTTTAATAACCGTGTCAACCCTCGTGTCTCAATGTTGGTGAGACGGAGGTAGTATTAATCACAGCATGGCATTCAATACATGATGTCTATGTTGGTACTTATGTATATGACTGTGGTGACCATAGTGATGTTTAGCCTTGTCTAGTATGAGAGTATGAGACTAGTGCATTCTAATACTTACAGGGACGTGAGAGTCACGGGCATTTCTCTTGGCATCTGTGGCAGAGAAGACGGTGTAGACGAGGACGAAGGTGCCGACTATTTCAGCACCAAGGCCGTCCCCCTTGCTGTAACCATGAGCCACTACATTTGCGCCTCCACCCTTTACTTCAAAGAGTGATGGCTGGAACCCCTTCACAACTCCTGCTCCACATATTGCTCCCAGGCATTGCATCACAATGTAGAATACTGCCCTTGTTAGAGACAGTTTTCTTGCCAGAAACAACCCAAATGTCACTGCTGGGTTTATGTGTCCACCTGTTTTAAACCATAACAAAAAAGATTACAAATTATAGGACTGAGCAAGGAATTGAAATGTTTTACAACACATGTTATTTCTGACTCCTATAAAAGGTTCCTATTGTGAGGGGTTATGTATCAAGTGTATATTTTATATTGATATTTTATGTTAGGCTGTAGAAACTATACAACAAGCCATACTAGACTTTCAGTCGCAGTGTAGCCCTGGTAAAATTCTAGGTTTTATATTTATAAGTAATACGTAGTAGAGTAACATTTTTACTTCAACCTTATTTTTATGGAGTAATGTATTAAAAAATTTATCATAAAAATTGTTTAATATTACCTCCGTTCTAAAGTAGACGCAACTTATTGAATTTTATGTTATTCACACGTTCAACTTTGACTTCACTTTATTTACTAATTTATTAGAAATTTGATTATTGAAAAATATGTTTAATTTTTTCCCTTTTAAATTTTTTAAATCTGAAGTTTTTACTAATAAGAAATGAAATATATCAATGATCAAAAGTGTGTGTTATCAAAAGAGAAAATGGAAACGTTTGTAACTTTTAGTAACAAACACGAATTAACTATTAGTAACTTTTACTCATAGCTAGTAAATATACTAATGATCAAAGTTGTATATTCTCAAACACGAATTCAAACAAATGAACTCCTTCCTCTGTCCCAAAATAATATGTAACTTCAACTTTTCTTATTGGTTAGGAAAATTGTCCTAAATAGGACTAAAAACGTTTGTAAATTCCAAAATAGGATTATTGGGACTTTTGGCATTAACGGACTTTTGGCAATATTTTCTAAACTTGTCAGTAATTACTCTTATTTAGGGAATAAAAATATGACAATCCTATTTTGAAATTCTTTAGACATTTTTACTCCTATTTTCGGAATTTTCCCTATTAAAATTATAATCAAATTTAATTTCTAAAATTGTAAATCAATTTCTGTGAGGAAGTACTATAACTAAATTTGAACAGATGCTCGGTAGAATTAGTGCAAAAGACTAGTTTACTTATTGTTTTTCTTGTTCGTTTCTGTAAAAAAAATGTGTACATGTTACTCTAATTAATTTAATTTTTTATTATAAACCTAATAAATACCAACCTACCATTTATTTAAAGATAACCAATTACCAATATACTGATTCTTAGACTTGAATCACTTCAATTAGTTCAATATCTTTCCATATTAAATGATGCCTCCCAATCTCTGATTTTGTATATCAAACTTTTTGTCATATTTGAAGTCGAATTTAGCAAACTTTTAGTACACTAGTAATTTGTAAATTTTATTTAGGTGAAAACTCCGGTACCTTTCTAAAAAATGGGACCCTGTGCCTATAATTCATTTTTGAGCAAATCACTTTATCATTTTTAATTTAGATTTAAATAATTCAACTGGTACATTCACATTGATGCACGTGTATAAAGGTATGGTACGTTATGAGTACTATAGAATCTGTCTTTTATTTATTACTTATAATTACAAAATTATAATATGAGTATCATCGGTCACATACATAAACTGAAAATTAATTATGGGAAAGAGGAGTACAAACTTTCGGATTTCAAAAAATAACCTAGCAGATATCATTATATATGTACAGAAGCATTCTGTAATAATATTATATGACATTCTACCATAGATCTGAAAATTTATACAGCACAAAAAACCATAGTTCATAAACATGGTGGGATCGGAGAGAGGAAGAAAGGTACCTGAGATGCCAGCGGTGCAGTAAACGAGGGCAAAGATCATACCACCGAAGGCCCAAGCAATGCCCTGAACGCCAACGCTGTTGCACTTGCTGCTAGATCTGGAGTACCCCATGACAGTCAAGACAGTGATGTAGAGGAACAAGAAGGTGGCGATGAACTCTGCAATTCCGGCCCTCCAGAACGACCACGAGTGGAGCTCCCCCGGCTCGAACAGCGGCGCCGGCGGCGCCTCCTTGTAGTCCTTCCCCTGCGCCGAGGTTCCCAGCGGCATCCTCTCTGAGAACTTGTTCGCTCCCAGCTTCACATCCTCCTCTTTCCCCTCCATTTCCCCTTTCTCTCTAAGCTCTCTCTAAACTCAGCTTTTTGCAGAAGCAGAGCACAAAGCGTTTTGTTAGTGGCAAAGCCTGTTTCTGTTTATTGGAGTGTGTGTGTATATATATAATTCGTATATACGTACAGATGAAGCAGGATGGCACAGCTGGCACAAAGCTCATGCATTTTGATGTAGTTAATAATCCTCCTCCCCAGTCAACTTTGTCAAGTTGACCTGGGAGATTTGTGCAAAGAGAAATGAATAAAGCACAAAAACATTGCTTTAACAGAAAAGTGCAAAGTTTTTTGGAACAAAAAGAAGGAAAGTTGACAAAGTCAAATGTGACAGAGGGAGTATTAAATCATTGGTGACAAACTCCGGTACTCATTTAAAAAATGGGGTACCGTATCTACCACTCACTTGATTGGTTCAAATCATTACATCATTTTTAATTTAGATTTAAATAATTCAACTACATCATTCTTATTGGTTCATGTAGACAAAGGTATGGTACCTTTAAAGGTACCATAGAATCTACCTAAATCATTTGTTTAGGCAAAAACCATTTCTAACCGTGTCCTAGAAACGTTTAGGTTCTTGCTAATTTTAGTGAGTTTAGTGAGAAAAATAGGGACCAAAAAAATACGAAATATGTTCTTGCACATTGTAAATATCCTCAACTCCATTTAGGAATAATTAAACACATATACGTAATTTTTAGATTTATATGATTGAATTTAGATAATACTACCTACTTCATATATTTTGTCCTTCTTTAATAATTGCAACATTGTACATAATTATTGAAATATTTACATACATTACTTTAACCATGATTCCATACTTATATATATATATATATATATATATATATATATATATATATAATCAAATTATTATATGTAGAATATTACTCTCTACGTCCCTAATAACTTTGCCAAGTTCGACCGACACGAGGATTAATAAAGTAAAAATTGTGTGATTGAGGTTTGTGCAGAGGAGAGAGAATTAACTGAAACCACAAATTATTTACTTAAAAAAGAAAGTAACAAAGTTAATGGGACATCTAAAAAAGGAAAGTTGGCAAAGTTATAAGGGACGGAGGGAGTATGAAATTTATACTAATGTGAATTTTCAAAATATTAACCTTTTATAATATTTACTAATACATAATTAAATATAATTAAAATTAAAGTTATGTGTTAAAAAATGTGAAAGTCAAATTGTTGGGTTTAAAAGAAGAAGGGAGGTGTTATATCTCATCACTATATATTAAGAGTTGTATTTGGTATACACTTTTTGTGTACACTTTGACATACTTATTTGTTACACACATAGAATTATTTGTGTACAGACGATTCATATTGAAATATAGAAGTTTTCTGAATGCAGACAACTCTATCTGTGTAGACAGACAAGTATGTCAAATAAAGTACACAAAAAACTGCACATCAAACATTTTTCATATATTAAAAAACATATATACGGGGAAGGTGGGTGTAGTCCAATGGATGACCATCCACCCCTAGGCAAGGACTCGGGCCGGGTCAGGCCCGGTCGGCCTCCGGTTTGTAATTGATGGGCCCGGTACCGGCCCGAGGTAAGGACGGGTCCGGTTCGGGCCGGGCCACCCGCCCGGGTCACGGGTCGGGCCACCCGCCGGGCCGAGGGGCGGGTAAATCCAATTTTTTTTCTTATTTATATTTTATACTTTGTAGTTTTATACAAGTATTAAAAACAAACTTCAAGTGCTTCATTTGAAATGAAATAGGAACTACATTTGACAATTGAGAAAAAAATACAATATGAAATACATTTTGTAATCAATCGGAATTTCCCGGTCCTTTGGCTTTGTCACATGACTTAATATGCTTCCTTGCAATCCCGTATCCGCGTGAAACCCCCATACTACACTTTTTCCCTCACCATTTGCAAGTTGTGTACCACATCCCGGTCATCGGGTCCTTCTGCGTATCAAAACTATACCGTATAACGGCATATTGAGTTTCAATCTTAAAAATGGTAGATATAATAATTCTATAAATACTAGAATAGTACCCGCACGGGTAGCTCAGTTGGTCGAGTGGTGGGAGATTTAGATCAATGGACCAAGGTCCGAATCCCCGCAGCGACCGGGTGGAGGTCACAGAACCTGAAATAAGCTTGGGTCTCTGGTGCGCACGAGTGTATGGGCCTACTGCCATTCTGCTGAATGAGTCACCGTGACTAACCTCCTCACCATCCTGTCGGGTCAGGTGAGGGGGGCTCCTGGGGTGGGAGATTCCACCTTTTTTTGGATCAATAAATACTAGAATAGATGGAGATGAAGATGGAGAATGGAGATTGGAGATTGGATATTGGAGAAGACGTGTATAAAAATGTTAGAAAATAGGAGTATTTATAGAAATTTTTGGACCCCCACACCCACCCCCGCAGGACACCCTTGATTCAAACAATCAAGTGCCCAACGGCTATATAGCCATTTGGGGGAATTAGGGCCTTTCATTTCAATTTTTTTTGTTTATTTTAGTTTGAATAAATTACATAATGTAAAATTAATTAATTAATTTTATGAATTCAGTAATGCTATTTTACAAAATTAACGCATATTTAAAAAATGAACGTATATTTATTTCAAATATGAACTACAAGTTTACAAGTTACAATTGAGAAGTGAAGGTAAAATTAAAACATGAAATACTAATCAATCGGAATCTCCGACATAGGTAGAGTCACCCTCGGTTGATTCATCCATAAAGTGTTGGGATGGTGTGATGTTCATTTTTTGAGCTCTACGGGCCGCCTTAACCCAATCGTGGTAGCATATAAGCGTCTCAAGAGATTCTGCGCTCAACCTCGTTCAAGATTTTGTTAGGACATTGTCGGCCGAACTAAATTCTTGTTCCACGTCAACTGTTGAAACCGGCATTGATAGCACTTGCTTAGCCATCTTTGCTAAAATACGGGAACATTCTTTCTTTTCCCTTCCACCAGTTTAGAACGTCAAATTCATCATCTTCTTCAAAATCAACATCATATGTTAAATACAGAGAAATCTCATTAATTGTGCTTTGTTGAGTAGCAGGAGTTGTTTTAGTTGTTTTAATAAGATTGGCAAATGTAGATTTCAAAATTGATTTTCCTTTAGATGAAGATGTTTGTATCGTGGGAGGGGGCGCGTTGTCATATTGTGCATGAAACTCATTAAATAATGCATAACATATACCACTAACCTCGTTGTATTCTTTTTTCGGATCAATTGAGTTCTCGTCATACATTGGCAAAAGACATAAAAAGCAGCATAATAATAATTCAAACATTCTTCTAAAGAACCAAGTCTAAAACGAGGATCGAGAAAAAATGCAATACCATAAATATGCGGAATTTGTACATAATATTTTAAAAACTTTTCCTTCATAAAATCAGCAAAATAACTCACATAATCGGCATTCTGAAAATTTGCAAAAGCACCGGCGAGATTAACAGCTTCACGAATAAATTGGTTTGAGGTAGGTTTATAAACATGACTAAAAGTTTGAGTTGCATTATAAAAGTATACCAAAACATTACAACTTTTTTCACATGTGTCGATCTCAGCCGAGTTTATAATATAGTTATCATATTGTTTTAAAAAAGCAGGAAAATGTTCTTTATGGAGTATCTAAGAAGAATTGTAATTAACTTATAAGTACTATTCCAATGAATAGACAAATCTTTAGGAAAAGCCACATATTTCTCACCTCTTTCTATCAAATAATCATGCCATTTATTTCTAAGTTGACCACTACCCCAAATACGTCTAATCCCCCCTTGACTACCTCCAAAGAATCTCCTAACGCTTTTAGACCATCTTGCACACATAAATTTATAACATGACATACACATCGTTGATGAAAAAATCTACCTATCAAAGAAGTAGAACCACACAATTCACGCAATCTAGGAATATCAGCAGTATAATTAGTAACATTATCAAAACCAATAGCAAACACCTTATCATTCAAATTATACTCAATTAATATACGCTCAATCAAAATATAAATATGTATAACGGTGTGAAAGCAAGACTATAATCTTTACCTTTTCCGCACCATAAAGCCTTAAAATTTCTTTCTTAACCGTTTTGCGACTATAACCTCTATATTGAGGATTTAAACAAGTTTGTGCATAATCTTTGAAAGCAAGACTTTCAGAAAACAAATAAGGCAAATTTTCTTCAACAAGTAAGTTAGCCATACCAGTCAAATTTTGTGCATCAGTGTATGAGAAATTACCAAAAGGTTGTTGGTATTGGAAAAATGTGTTAAAATTACATTAAATGGTCATTTTGGGGCTATTATTTGAGTGGGGTCCACTTCCGATTTGGGTCGGGTCAAAGTGGTTTAGGATTGTCCTTGTTATGGGCTACAATTCGATATATGCTACGCTCAAAACGGATAACGGGTGGATGAGAAATTGATTCTCAAAGTTCACTCGTTGAAATGGAAAAACAGAGAAAATGATGGGTTTCTAGTGTGTTTTATACCACACCGGAAAATTCAAGGGATTTTCACCCCCTTATAAAGGGAAGCCTCTTTTAAGGAGTTAAGATTTCTAAAGGTAAAGGTTATGTCTTATGCGCAGCGGCGCAGGGGAGTGCCGATCAAATCTCAAAACGGAGAAAAAATACCGCGACTTGTGCCCGGGTGACTTGCGGACACGAATGTCGTCCGAAAATCTATCATTCAAAGATACGGTCTAATTTTTGTTTCTTCCCGTAACGTTTTATTTTTCCCAGGACCAGAGGTGCTCGGACAGAATTGCTCGAACTGTGGTGGCTTCGTACCAGAGATGCTCCAACTCTGGTGGGGGTCCTCTGCTGGCTTCGCATCAGAGTTGCTCCAACTCTGGTGAAGGTATTCTGGTAGCATCAGAGTTGCTCCAACTCTGAGGGGGGGTATTCTGGTCGCGCACCAGAACTGCTCCAAGCCGTTACATCCATTAAATGCCCAACGTTCTTGTCTTTTAATGCAGCGTTAAATGGACAGTTTATGGACGATTCAATGCCCAACGGACTGGTCATTGATGTCCAACGTTCAGGTCCATTAACACCCCATTTAACACACAACAAATCCTCCTATAAATAGCTGGCATGTGCTTTGCAACAACACATGCAATCATTCACTATTTGCACGTATTTTGAGCTCTAAAACACT